ACGAAAAGAGCTACAGTGGTATGGTTAGCAACCTTGCGGCAGAGCGGCAGTTAGATGAGGTCTCACCATGACGCCAAAGCTGAGACTCAGAGAGCAAGCTAAGAAGACGTTGCTCTCCTCGATGCGGAAATTCCGCTTACCGGGAAAGAGTCTGACAATCGCATCGACACAGATGATAGACGCGCCGAAGAGGCAGGCTGGATTTCTTGTGTTAGTAGTGACGCCATCGGAGGAAATGGAAAGCAGATTGACGCACCTATCCCGCTGATGATACAGAGAATCCACCCACGGGTGTCATTGCCCACACTCCTCGCTATCAGCTCCATGGTGAGAGCGTAGATCCGTCCGTCCAAAAAGCCCCGCGATCGATCAAGCTCGGCGCGGTAGCATACGATTGTTAAGTGCCGGACGGAGGTGAAGAAATGCCTAGCCTAACAATATGCTTCTTCGTAGGTGGGGTCGGAGCACGAGTAAGTCGCCGTCGTCTGCTGCTGCTAGTGGTTTCTGACGTCTGCCGCGATTGGACAGGGATCTATCTATTTTAGATTTCCAGCGAATCCCAGATGTGGCGTTTGGCATCCAGGTGGGGAGGAGCAATCTGCATGAACTGCCGGCCCAGCGCAGAAATAGAAATACGAGAGGGATTGCAAAATAGTCAAGAGCGATAGATAATCTAGGATGGCAGGTTGAGCGAGGCAAAACGACGAGCTGGGGGCGCAATGCACGTGCAGTAGGTAGGTAGTTTCCTTGTTCCCTTCCCTTACCGCTGCTGATGGCCATCAAGGTTCTCACCATGATCCATCACCCGCCCCCATAATAGCACTTGCCACCACCAGAGCAGATCGAACCAATCGACGCAGCCAAAGAGAGGCACGACATCGTCTGCGTGACAGATTGAGACGGTCTACTTTCGCTCATTGTTCTATCTTTCTTCTGCCCGTGAGCTCACATGTGAGCAGCCAGTGGGGAATGAGACACCTGATGGAAGAGTTGGTTATTAATCGACTACTTTCTGCAATAGGGAGTTTTATAATAAACCATAGTAACAATAATTATATTATTATATATTATTAGGACTCAATAATGTGACAATACCGGTCGCAGATTTAAGAATAAGCAGCGTAATGTTTAAGTGTCTCAATTTCATGTCACCCACTTGAGAGCTCCCCAATTTTTTTTTGGAGGGGAGGCTGCATGAGACAACGCGCGAGTGACAGCTTACCAAATACGGCAGTAATAAATCACGTCGCAGCAATTGGTCATCATCAGCCTTGCTTATGAAAGAAATATGGAGATGGAGATTTGTGCATACCTAGTTTTGATGTGCGCTTCAAGCATTTGCTGACATCATACATGCATCGCCCTTCATACTTTCGACAACGCGGCGAGGTTGAGCCTGTCTGTTGGAAACACCGAGCCGCCCACACGCGACCGCTTCATCAAGCATGGACTTCTACTGGCAGACGTCGCTCGAGCAATAACTGAAACCAATCGTCAGATCTTTATTTATAGAAAAACAACGAGTGAAAATTTTTCGTGTTCAACTTACTTAGCGAAGCATATATTTAAGCTAAACATTTATATTTCTTACTTCCATCCACTCTTAACATTTGATTCATTTCGTATGCAATGTACATGGGGGGTTGTTGGTTGGGTGGGCGCCTGGGTTGTGTGAGTGCCCAGTAAGTGAGAAGGTGCCTTGATAGCCATCAGCAGCGGGAAGGGAAGGGAACAAGGACCATCGACCACACGTGAATCTGCCATCCTAGGTAGATCATATACTCGCTATCGCTATTGACTATTTGGTGATCAATATCGTATTTTCATTTCTGCCCTTGCCTACAGTTTATGTAGCAGACGGTACCTCCCTGCCTGGATGGAACCTTGGTGCTGCGAATAGCATGACGACTTCTTCGAGGGCTCTGAACTCGACATCAGGCTCAAGGCAGAAGCTACTCCAGCAATGCTGCGTCGATGATGCACGAAGAGATATAGGCGAATACACATAATGAGTTTCATCTCAGGGAACCCATTTGGAAGGCATCTTTCGGATAGCTGGATATTCCGCCTTACTTTAACACGCAATATTCCACATGCATACTTGCCCTTGCTCTTCTGCTTCCCCCAAAGTCTTCACCAGACACCAAAATAGAGACAAATTCAGTCGACCGATTTTCCAAAACTTTGGGGGAAGGCGCGCTGTGATGGGTTACTGAGATCTGATGGAGAAGTCTTCTTTCATCATGGTGTAAGTTTTGGTTTAGCATGGATTGATCGAGGGAGAGGGGAAAACTCACTTAGATGTCGCCGTTTGTGCTACTTAGAAATTCAAAATCTCTTCTGAGTTTTCAAAGCAATATAATACATGTCGAATGTAGCACGTCACCTGGCAGAGGTTTTGAGGCAGCTGCTCACCAAGTGGGTGTTTTAGAAAGGTGGCACATTGAATTTCTGGACAAAATCAACAATAATGAATACAATATCGAACAAATACTCAAGCTTAATACAACAGCACAGGGTTTTATTTAGAGAACATTTCTAGTGAACTTTATTCTCCTTCTCTTAACACCAAATCCGTCACTCCCACCAAGTTCAGATTTGCGTTTCAGCGCTTCTACTCGCCCTCCCTCCCATCCACTCGCCCTCCCATTCACTCGCCCTCCCATCCACCTACCCGCCCGCCTGGGCTTAACTGGGGGGGGGGTTTACATCGATCTGAGTCTCCTACACAGCCGCCTCATCGATCTGAGTCTCCTACAGAGCCGCCTCATCGATCTGAGTCTCCTGCACAGCCGCCTTTGGTGGCTCCAAGCACGCAGCCACCTCCCGCGCGACCCCAGGCCGGCCGCAAAACGAAGGAAGCGGTAAACTTCCTCCCGACGCGCCTGGAGGTAGGTGGCTCAGAGCCGCCGCCAGCTCTCATAACGGGCGACAATTCGCCCAGATCGGAGCAAGACCCTATAATCACCATAGTTAGCTAGATGTCTTACACTTTGCTGCCAAAGTGGCCTCATGGACACTATATGTAAACAAGATAGACGAGTGCGGTAACAAGACTTCTCTGGACCTTTTTGTACCGTCTGAAGGATATGGATAACTTACATCGTGATGGTCAGTGGTGGTGGTGCTAGTGGTGGTGGTGCTAGTGGTGGTGGTGCTAGTGGTGGTGGTGGTGGCTTGCTGGTGTTGGTGCTGCTGCTGCTGTGGTGGTTCTGCTGATGATGGTAGTAGTAATACTGGTAGTAATAGTAATACTGATAGTAGTAAAAATACTGGTGGTGGTGCTGGTGGTGGTGGTGGCTTGCTGGTGTTGATGCTGCTGCTGCTGCTGTAGTGGTTCTGCTGATGATGGTAGTAGTAATACTAGTAGTAATAGTAATACTAATAGTAGTATTAATACTAGTGGTAGTAGTGATACTGGTAGCAGTAATAATACTGGTGGTGATAGTGATGCTGGTGGTGGTGATGCTGGTGGTGGTGATGCTGGTGGTGGTGATGCTGGTGGTGGTGGTGCTGTAGTGGTGGTGCTGGTTCTGGTGATGATGGTTTCGCAGGAAAACATCACGAAGCTCTTAAGAAAACGGTGGTGATGGTGTCGTAGGAAAACATTACGACACTCTGAAGACAATAGTAGTGATTATGTTGTAGAAAAACATTACGAAACTCTGAAGACAACGAGTGCTTTTCATCTAGTAACTTCTCCAATGGAAGCCACGACTTGCACCCATATGTAGAAGTAAAGAACGACTTATCATGATGACGGCCTCTCTACAGGAAGCTATATGGAAGGCCCTGCCTCAAAGATGCAGAAATAAACAGATATCAAGGACAATCATATTTGTTCACTTTATTTTCTTATCTCCACCTCTTCGCAAAACACTATTGAGACTTTTGTGTTAAATAACCATTGGAAATTCTGATCTTCAAACCGCTCAATTGCATATGCCCTTTCGGTAAACGATTCCAAGACTTGATCAGCTTGTCCATTGAGAGAGTCTATCCGAACGTGGTGGTCAGCTGTCACAGCCTTCAAGTTATCATATAACATCACGGCAATAGCAAGACAAACTAACGTTTTTGAGAAATGATTCCAAAGCGATTGAGTGGCTAGGAACTACCAGTTTAATGAACGCCACAATGAACGGCAACCTTGTTGTCACCACAGTACTGTGACTCGGATTGATGCAGATGGCACGGAGACATGGGCCAGTAGTCGTCGGTGCAGCACCACATGCAGAGCACCGACGGGCCTTGGCCTCCCCAAAACTCACAGTCACCCATAGGGAAGACACACGTCGAGGATTCCTTTGCGCTCATGCCATTGTGGGGGGTAAAAAGCCCCATAGCATTTGCCACGAGACAGATGCTCGCAACGATGTATGTTGCGCGAGCCATGTTGAACCTTCCAAGATTTGATTCGACTTTCACCTTCTTTCTCGACGAGAACAAAGAATGGGTTGATGTATTTAATATCCAGCCTCAAAATCTATGAGAGGCAAGGACTAGTGAGGGCGGATGCGTAGGTAGGTTGATGCAGAGCACAGTTTTAGCGAAGCGCTCACTAGACTATATGTACGCAGTATATAGGACGTAAACATCAGAAGCATTGTTTACATGACTCTTAATATCTTTAGCCTTCATAAAAATAACATCGAAATATCGAATGCCGCCTATACCAATACCAAAGCAAGCTCTTCTTCTGAGTTCGGCGCGATGGGTGGGCCTGAGGTTCTTCGCAGTTGTTCAGACGCTTCTCAGTTCAAGTTCAGATGGAACGTTTCAACTCAATCATAATTCCAGCCCATAAAGATTCTCATTGATTCTTCGTGTCACCCTCCTTCATAATCTGTAGCACACTGGGAACTTTTCTCCTCTCACAAACCTCCAGCAGTCCTCCAAGCCCACCCATTAACCGAAGTAGAAAGCAACACCCGCACTGATTATCCAGCCGCGTTTCACTCAACTAATCATTTTCGCAAATTTTACCTCAACTTGTCAAGATGAAGGGCCTCAGCTTGATTGCTTTGGCATCCGCCGTCATGGCCGCAGTCGGAGCAACCAAGACCACCCTCAGCTCGGTTGAATCTACCACCTCCGCCTGCTCGTACGACGAATAGCTTCACTATTCCATCGCGCGTGGGGTTCCAAAATGACTGACAACGATTTCCGTAGACTCGTCACTTCCACTGCGTATGGAATCAACACGAAGCTTGAAAACCCAACCAAGTGGCTCGCGTCAATCAACCGCAAGTATTATCGAGGCCAGCACTCTTGGTCAGACTCGATTCCCATCTTCACGGCTACTATTGAACACGCCGGATCAATGGTGCCTGCCATCGGATATGTCGCCTCGGGAATCTTGGAGATCGAGGGATACAAGGTCACCACCTCCGTCGTCACGGCGACAGCTTGTGGCACCACCCAGCCTTCCGCAGACCCGGACAGCATCTGTCACCTGTCCAACAACGACGGTTTGTGATGCCCGAGAAAAGCAACTCTACGCGAATCTGGATAATTAAGACCACAGGTTGCAGGGAACTGCGAGGGAGACGGAGTTAATCCGGGAAGATACGAGTGTGTCGCCCACAATGATCACTGTATGTTGCATATCCCCATCCGTGCTGGTTGCACCACTCAACAAAATTCTAATGACCGTCGCCAGGGCACTGTCCCGTGGGCATTGATCCACCATCCGATCATCCTGGTCGACCAGGTCGCTTCACTTCCCAGAACGACGGGAACACGTCCTGCTTCGCCACGGTGACCGCAAGCGTCTTGCTTGGTATCACCGTAGTGGCCGTGATGTGTATGTAAGAGGCCTTGAAGGCCACCACCGTCATATCACAGGTATATGCTACCGCAAGTGTCAACTATTATTTTTACAAGAGTCAGAACGCTCAGCCCCAGTGTCGGGCGATGGACGAAGACTTATAACGTGGCAGGATGGTAGGTAACTGACCAAACATGTTTATTTGTCACATGAAGGTCCGTTTAATGTATTTGCGCATGGCTGCCTAGATAGTAATTTGAGTCCCGGCAGTCTGTTTAGATGAGAGACATGGCATGCATGCAGTTGTGTCATCTGCTCTAGGGTCCTGAGATCACATGAGAGTTTGCCATGACTGAGAGCCTAGCCAGACAGTAACTAATACCTACTCACGCACTGAAAAGTAGGAGTGCGCGAGCTACGGAAAGCCTGGGGAGCTTGAGGTCTGTTTTTTGGTACTTTTAAATCAGAAATCCATATAGCAACAGAAGAAGGTATAGAAATCAGTAGCCTCGCTACGTCTTTCTCGAAAATACAAGGTCTAGCGTCGAAATTGACCAAACGGTCTTCATCTCCTCGATGAGCGTGACTACTACAGCAAATTAACCATATATCTCAAGCCCCATGGAGATCTACCAACCGTCTTGAAGTACCATGCTGTGCAAACGTGCAGCGAAATCGTGGATCAGTTTGGTGGTGGTTTCCGCTAGGTTAAGAGCTTCTTAGGTAGGCAACGAGCTAAGCAATAAGTCGAGAATCTTCATCTTGTCACCAATGGCTACAATTTTTTACTTCATCTTATTTGTAGAAGATTGGACGGTTAAGTATGCTATGTTCTATCTGGTGTACACTTGAGTATTTCCAAGATTTAGGAAGCCCTTATGGTTAATCTAAAGCCCTTAAACCGTCTACGCTAATCCTGTATTCTTTATTCTCTTTATTTTCTCTTTATTTTCTCTTTTACGAATACGCGGGCGATTTGACCATATTGTGAACAGAGGATTAGCTTCTCTCAGTTCGCAGGGAGGACAGTATTAAACAATGCTGATAGACATGTCCATTCCGCTGTCATCTCAAAACCCAGTAAGTGCGGTTGCGACGAATCAGGCTCCTGCTATGGCTACACCGACCCATGCGGCCAGGAAGGTTTCAAACATAAGTTTTGGCCTGTGTTGATTCTTCTGTATAAACTCAAGAACACAATTCTCTGAATCTCCAAGCCTGGTTTATTGCTCTTGGCTAAAGCGGTGTTGGCGACGGGCTTGTATACCTCCTTAGTGATAATAGATACTATCTTCTATTTCTTTTTGTCTCAACATTAAGAGTTGAAGCTTGAATTCGATTATCAATAAAAAAAATTCTAGAAGATGTGGCCAGCTAGTAGCAAATGGCTGTCGGGAAAACAGGGACTGCAAAGTCACCTCAGCAGACTTATTGTAGCAGTTGAGCACATAATAATGCTCCCTATTGTGTAAAAAGAGCAATAATATTCCCTAGTAATTAAGCAATAATTCATCATTATAAACCATTGTCGATCAATATCGTGGCCTGTAGTAGAAATTTAGGATCAATGAAAACAGCTTTGCAGTCTGTGTTGTCCTGACTCCCGCTTGCCGCTGGAACTAGCTCTTCTTATCTTAAAATTCGAAGATATGCGAGATGAACTTGATGAGGTACACGTTCCAGTCTTCTTCGCTTATAATAACAGATTTCTCAACATAAGGAGTAAGAAAGGCCAAATCCTCAAGAGCATCCTATTCCAGGATCTTAAGGACCTTTAGGGTGGAATCGTTGCATAGAAAACGAGTTAACCGAACGCCCGATGACGCTCCAAGTCTTTTCTCTAGAACATCCAAAGGACCAAATGATAAATCATCTTACCCGGAGAGAATAAACGTGTCGGAACCTCTGCACGTGGGAATCCCTTGTGAGACCAATCTTCGGGACTCGGGACCAATTAGACAAATCAGTTCGGACACGAAGCTCCGTTTCTTCGGGTGTGGAAATGAGAAGAAACATACGCACAACAGCGAGAGGAGAAATGCACTATAACGACAACGAAAGTAAGGAATTTTCAGCAGCACTACATCATCAGTAGGCTTTTGCTTTTCTTTACAAAATTTAGATAGACCATGATGCAATGGTCGATGGTTTATGGTCCTGTTCCGCAGTGCTGGAGGTGGCCGATAAGATAAGAAAAAGTTGAACTAAGCTCGGCACATGCAAGATGCGAGACATGCATCACAACACCACATCAGCTCCCACCCTCCCTTACCACGAGGCTCTCGCATATTACTCTTACATGTTTCCCACGAGAGCATGCTCCATTAATCACTAATCCCCCTCGGCTGACCGTCCTCGGAACCTCTTGCTCTCTACACCAACAAACCGATCCTTTAAAACCAACGGCTTCGAAGCCCACCAGTATCTCGAAAATGTCCAAATCAGTTGCTATGGTCGCTGTCCTCGGTGCAGGAGGAGGCGCCGCACTTACCGCCGCCGTCATGTCTCTTCGAGGAAACAGCAAGAAGCCTGAAATCCAGGCCGCAAGCACCGCTACTCCAACCGCACCCGTCATCGCTGGCCCTCCTGTGCCAGTTGCCATCCCACCATCCCAGATATTCTCACCGCCAGGCGCAGCTCCCGCTGTCCCTGGCGGCCTCGTCGACCCGGCCGGTCTCTTCCAATATGGCTTTCCCGGCCCCGTTGCTGACGTTGCAAACCGCCACGCCCTCGTCTCGAGCTACGACCGCCGCACACGCAACCCTCACTGGGTCGTCGAGCACATCACCCCTCAGTCCCTCGCCACCCGCGACGGAGACCGCAAGAACAGCACCTTCGTCGAGGACCCCGACGTGCCCCAGAAGTTCCGCGGCCTCCTCAAGGACTACTTCCGCAGCGGCTACGACCGCGGCCACCAGGTCCCCGCCGCCGACTGCAAGTGGTCCCAGCAGGCCATGGACGAGACCTTCTACCTCACCAACATGTGCCCCCAGGTCGGCGAGGGCTTCAACCGCGACTACTGGGCGCACTTTGAGGACTTTTGCCGCCGCCTGACGGTCCGGTACCCCTCCGTCCGCATCGTCACCGGGCCCCTCTACCTGCCCCGCAAGGACCCCGTCGACAACAAGTGGTACGTGAAGTACGAGATGATCGGGAGCCCGCCCTCCATCGCCGTGCCCACACACTTCTACAAGGTCATCTTCGCCGAGGACGGCCGCGCGGGGGGCAACGTCGCCCTGGGCGCCTTCGTCCTCCCCAACGCGCCCATCTCCAACGACAAGCCCATCACCGACTTCGAGGTCCCCATCGAGGCCGTGGAGCGCGCGAGCGGGCTCGAGTTCGCGTCCAAGCTGCCGTTGCAGAGGAGGAGGAGGCTGTGCACCGACACCACCTGCGCCCTCATCATCAAGGACTACGCCGAGCGGCAAAAGTCGGTGGCCAAGGGCGACAGGCGGGCGCTCCCACCACCCAGATCATAATAAGCAGTCGTGTACCATTAGACTTGCTTGATACGAATGAGTGGCTGGGTTGATGATTCATGGTTTTCATTTCGTCCTTCTGCTTTTTGTCACTCACCTAGTTTTCGAGCTTAGTTTCTTTTTTCAATTTTCCTTTTTTTTCTCAGATAGACTGGGCATGGTTTACGAGAGGATATTTCAGATTGCATCACTGCATAGAAACGGGTCATGAGCGAGGGATATCAGCATGATGGGCCATTTGCTCAAACACTTATGTATAGTATGATGACATGACATTATTAGATAGACTTCTTTTTGAACCCCCATATTTACATGCCTACTTTGACCCTCCCGCCGTGCAACGATCCTGTAGTCTCTCCAGGCCCAACATACACTTTACACCACCACCATCGCTCTGGAATACAAGCAAGTTGACTAATAATACTTCAAGAAGACAGCCCAAGGGTATCATTCAGAGAACCCCCCTCCAGAGAAATGAGTAGGTTAAGATGAATGACTTAAAATGGAGGGGAAACAAGGCTTGGTAAACTCTTCTACCTAGCTCGAGTATACCTTCCCTGCCTCTGTTCAGAACGCAGACTGTCCTCCTGGCTGGGCAGTGGTGCCCTCCGCCCAGCGTCTCCAGCCGCACCTGGAGGGGGTGGCGGCGGCGGTGGGAAGGGAAAGTTGCCCGGCGGGGGCACTCCCCCCGGGGGCGGTTTGAAATCGGGCGGAATAGCAATGCCAGCATCTCGCATCATCTCGAAGATCTTAGCCGCGTCTGGCGGGTTGCTCGGGTCGAAGCCTGGAAGGGGTGGTAGAAGAGGTGCGCCATTGAGGGAGAAGGGAGGTGGTGGGATGGGGGGAGCGCTCGGGTTGGCAACCATCCCGGGCAGAGGAGGGGGAGGCACGCCGTTTGCGCCTCCGAGGCCGGGAACACCACCCAGACCGGGCAGCAGGCCGGGGATGTTGGAGAGGCCTGGGGGAGCGCCGGGGCGAGCATCTTGGTCGACGAGGGCGTCGGCCTCATCTTCCAGTTCTTGCTGTTCCTCCTCCTGTCTCTGCTTGCGGTTTCCACGGCGATCCCAGGTTCCCTGTGCCTCTGCGGCAGCCTCGCCGATGTGGTACCTGTCCTGGGAAACTTCTGTGTCTCCAGGACGAGCTCGGGTCCAGAATCGAGTTATGCGGTCATTGGAACCTGAGGCGAGGATATGTCCCATGGGATGCCAGTCCAAAGACCACACTGCATAGTCGTGGGCATATGGCACTTTGTGCATTGGCCATACCGACTGGGCGGGAGTGGAGGTAGGGTCGGGGCTATCCCAAGGAGAGACGGTAAGAGGGTGGCCGGCGGGAGGGTTGGGGGTATCCAAGAGATAGTGGAAGACGGAGCCATCCATACCGCCAGTCGTCAGGAGGTTAGCATGCACAGGATGCCAAGTCAGAGTAGAAATGTCCTTTTCGTGCCCCTTGAGCAAGCAAATATCTCGCATGATTCTTAGGTCGAAAATCCTGGCCGTCTGATCTCTGGCCGAAGTGGCCAAGCAGTGGCCCTGGACCTTCTCGAAGAGCACCTTGGTGACGGT